GGGAAGCCTAGGGGCCCGGCGACAGGGAATCAGGAGGCGGGACCAGGGAAGTCTTGGGGGCCAGCGATGGGGAGTCAGGAGTCGGGAACAGGAAACTCTGGGGATCGGGGGCTTTGGAGGAGGAGGAAGAGGAAGAGGAAGGGACTTCAGAGGACGAGGAAGGGTCTCTGGGGACAGGGGCTGGAACTCTGGAGACAGGGACTGAGACTGGAACACTGGGGACACGAGAGACTGGAACACTTGGGACTCGAGAGACTGGAACACTTGGGACTCGAGAGACTGGAACACTTGGGACTCTTGAGACTGGAACACAGGGCACTCTTGAGACTGGAACACTTGGGACTCGAGAGACTGGAACACTTGGGACTTGAGGAACTAGAAAACAGGGGACTGGAACACAGGGGACTCTTGAGACTGGAACACTTGAGACTGGAACACTGGGGAGGTAGACACTTGTGGGAACACTTGAGACTGGAACACTTGTGACTGGAACACTGGAGACATAGACACTTGTGGGGACTCTTGCGACTGGAACACTGGAGACATAGACACTTGTGGGGACTCTTGCCACTGGAACACTTGCGACTGGAACACTGGAGACATAAACACTTGTGGGGACTCTTGCGACTGGAACACTGGAGACATAGACACTTGTGGGGAGACTTGCGACTGGAACACTGGAGACATAGAGACTTGTGGGGAGACTTGAGACAGGGACGTCGACTCGGGAACAGGAACCTCCGACTCGGGAACAGGAACGTCCGACTCGGGAACAGGCTGGACCGGAGCCTCTTGGACGGGCTGGACCAGATGCAGAGCGTCCTCCGGGACCACCGCCAAAGCAGGATGCGGAGCGTCCTCCGGGACCACCACCAAAGCAGGATGCAGAGTGTCCTCCGGGACCACCACCAAAGCAGGATGCGGAGCGTCCTCCGGGGCCACTGCCGAGGCAGGATGCAATGCATCCTCCGGGACCACCGCTGAGGCTGGATGCAGAGATGGCAGATGAAGCTCAGACGCAGGTCGCAGATCAGGGGCCTCTTGGGTAGGCGGCACAGCTCTGACGTCTGATGGATTCATGAGTCTAGGCTTGGGCTGCAGAGCAGGGGCCTCTTGGTTAGGCGGCACAACTCTGGCTTTGGATGGCTTTATGAGCTCAGGTTCGGGCTGCAGAGCAGGGGCCTCTTGGTCAGGCGGCACAACTCTGGCTATGGGTGATTTATTGAGCTCAATCCTGGGTTGCAGAGCAGGGGCCTCTGGAATAGGCGGCACAACTCTGGTCTTGGATGGGTTCAGGAGTTCTGGCTCGGGCTGCACAGCAGGGGCCTCTTGGTTAGGCGGCACAACTCTGACTTCAGAAGACTACTGGTGATGGCGGCGCCGTTGATGGCATGCGAATAATCTGCTGGTTAATGGGAGGGGCTCGGGTTGAGATTGCAGAGCAGGGGCCTCTTGGGAAGGCGGCACAACTCTGGTCTCTGGGGACTGCTGGTGATGGCGGCTACGTCTGCGTGGAGTGGTTAGGCTCATCTGAGGTGAAGAGATGATGCCGGCAGAATCAGAGGAAGAAGTGTGGTGACAGCCCACCTGAGATGGATAGGTGGCGCTGTCAGGACCAGGTGAGGGAATGGAGGCTGAAGCTATCCGGATCATGGAGAGGTGGATAGAAGGTGTAGTGGTGTGGAGCCGAAGGATACGAACAGGTCCTTAGCAAAAGTCCAAAAAGAAACCTCTTCAATGGGGTGTATATCCAAATAACTGGTGGCCCACCGCCAGGCCTTGCCCCCCAGGCAAAGCACCATGAATGATACCTTATTAAATTCTGAAGAATTTAAGTCCAGGCAGCCGGCACAGTCTTGGATAAAGGCTCAACAAGTCTCAGGATCACCATCATATTTGTACATCTGGGTCCGCTGGGTCCTGGTTGGTCGGTCCATTCTGTTACGATATGCTGGAGGTTGGTAGGACCCAAAATGCAGGAACCCAAGATGACATGAGGCAGGTGATAATATAAAGAAAAATCATTTATTTTGAAGGATGAACCAAAGAATAAATCCAAGACAGGGAGCCAAAAGTCCAAAATCCTAAATCGAGGCGCCACGAGGACAGGCGGCAAAGGAGGCTTGGAGGTGTGCATCAGCAACCCTTCAACCATTCTCAGCATGACCCGAACACGAAAGAGCACAGAGCTCAGGATTGGAGTCAAGCTCAGCAGAAGAAGGCAGATGAGTTGTAGGATCAGAAAGGTACAGGATCATCCTGCTTATATTAGGGTCCTGGGACTGAAGACTGACAAGATCGTTACCAGAAAAGACAGGTTGAACAGACACAACACCCTCGGATGGTTGGGAGCTCGAGTCACGACGCCTCTTTTTTTCTCATTTAGCATATTCTTCAGTTCACTGGTGATCCAGGGTTTGTTATTAGCGAAGCATCTCATTGTTCTGGTGGGTATGATGTTGTTCACACAGAAATTTATATAGTCAGTGACACATCCAGGCATGGCATTGATGTCCTCTTCATATCCTTGGCTCATCCAATATGTGGTCTCAAAACAACTCTGCAGGACTTCTTCAGCATCCTGTGACCATTTCCTCACAGTTCTTGTCACAGGTTGCCTCTGAACAAGTGGTTTGTATTCTGAGCAGAGAAAAACAAGATTGTGATCTGATTGTCCCAGAGGAGGTCTTGTTTTGGACATGTGTGCATTCTTTACATGTGTCTAACACAAATCCAATGTCTTGTTTTCTCTGGTGGAGCAGCTGACAAACAGTTGAAATGTTGGAAGTGTAGCAGAGAGCGAGGCATGATTGAAATCACCAGATATAGCAACAAATGCATTGGGGAGCTGGGTTTGTAGCTTAGCGACAACGGAACTGATGGAATCACATGCATTTTCAGCAATGGCTGAAGGTGGAATATAAACGGTTGCCAAGACAACATTGGTGAACACTATTGGCAAATAATATGGAAGACAACTTACTGCCAAGAGTTCAACCTCTGGGCTGCAGACATGACATTTCACTGAATCATGACCTGGATGGCACAATCTGTTGTTGACAAGCACTGCCACTCCACCACCTTTTCTTTTCCTGCTCCTCTTTAGATCTCTGTCTGCTCGTACAGTCAGGAATCCTGGCAGAGAGTCGCTGAAATCGGGGATATGGTCCTGCAGCCACATCTCAGTGAAACACATAACACTGCACTGCCTAAACTCTGGCTGAGTCCTTGAAAGGGCTTGGAGTTCCACCATCTTGTTGGCCAGTGATCTCACATTGCCCATTATGATCAATGAACTTGTGGAAGTAAATCCAAATAAAACATAATCTTCAAGATACAGCCGAAATTTTGCTGGCTCTGGTTTGGTCTTCTTGGCCACTTGTCCCTCCGTGTTTTCCAAAGAATTACTGCTGCACTTCAACCACGTGTCAAACGCTGATCCAAGTGACTGACTGGTGATGCCAGGCATTATATGACAGGTTGGAGGTAACCATCCTGGTTTGGGGGAGACACTGGGATTTTGGGATAATGAATTTAGCCTACTTCTACTGAATATAAGACACATTTTATGAACTTTCACTTTTATTTTCCTAAAATATGTATTAAATAATTATTTTTAAAAGATTTTGCATGGATTCTATTTTAAATGAATGTACATTTTCCCACATACCCCCTGGAGTTTCCTTTTCCCACATACCCCCTGGAGTTTCCTTACATACCCCCAGGGGTATGCGTACCCTCATTTGAGAAAGGCTGATCTAGACTGTTTGGTAACGGAATACTCTAGAGTTATTAAAGCTATTTCTTCAGCGTTTGGTCAGATGATCATTCAAAGTATTCAACATAGAGCAATTACACCTAAGCATCCTAAATTATTTATAGTTGATTTGTGTTTTACAGATCCTAAATGTAATAACTCTTACCTAAGAGCAGTCTTGTCAGACAAGTTTTTCCCTATTCCTGTCAGAAGGAAAATTATTTCGCTGATTCTCTCAAATAAAGATACCAAATTCATAAGAACAGTTTTCTTTCTTATCCTCTTCTCCCCAAAATGAAGGAAGTCCATTTTAAAACGATTACTTATATATATATATATACAGAATTCATAAATATCAGATTTAATATAAAAGATAATATATGTGTCTTATGTAATAGTGATATTGAAACTCAGAAACACCTTTTCTATGATTGCAACTCGGTAAATACCTTTTGGTCTGATTTATACAATTGGCTATTATCCAAAAAGAGTTACAATATCCCCTTATTCACATATAACATTATTCAGTTTGGTTGTTTAGAAAAAAATAAACAGATTCAATTCGTTGTTAACAATTTGATAATTTTTAGGAAATTATTTACTCACAAATGCTGTTTTATGAAAGTGAAGCCAAGCCTGCCTTTTTTCAAAAATTATTGTGTTCTTTTTTGCAAATCCCTTAAAAAGGTAAATAATATAAAGGCTGTTGAACCTGTCAGTTTTATTGAAGATCTTTTGGACTAAAGTCCTCTGTCTGGTACTTTTCTTTACTTTACCTTATACTTTATTATTTATAAATCTGGTTATTTCTGCTGCTTTGACTTTTTTTCCAATTGTATTTGATGAAAGTTGTTGGTTGCCTACTGAGTTTTATTGTTTGCTATTACAGTGTACGGTGATGGATGTTCATTCCCAAAAAAAATTGTGGCGCTGCCACGGATTCGTCTGGGGGAGCAATAAAAAATGTTGGAAAAAATAAATGCATTAACGCTTCTTATTGCATTACACTGTATATGCATGGAGTGTCTGGGACATGTAGTTGTAAACCGCTCGAAATATTTCAAATATTTTCGGTGACAGCCTGTTTGTTTTGGTTTTGGTACTAAAGTTTAAATAAAACGTTGGCACGATGAGGCCGATTATGCAAAAAAAAAAAAAAAAAAAACTCTTTCTACAGCTCTGGCAGAGCCAGTCTACGAGCCGCTACCAGGCCAACTTCGGACAGATAACCCGGAAGTTGTTAGCAACATTAGCTTGTTGTTTGTTAGCAGCGTTAGCTTGTTGCTCGTTAGCAGCGTTAGCTTGTTGTGTGGGTGTGTGAGGTGAACCTCTGAGGCTCTGCAGCAACAATGTCTTCAGCTCAGTCTCTGAGAGAGTTTATCAGAGAGCGGCTAACTGCTGCTGCTGCAGAAATATTCTCCGAGTTTGAACAAACCATCGTCCGCTACGAGGAAGAGATCGATCGTCAGCGCAGACTGCTGGAGATCAGCTGGAAACCACAGATCAACGTACACAGAATAGGTATGAAACAGCAGCGGGACTCGTGTGGTTTTACTGAGGACACAATCTCAGGACAGTCTGCTTGGGTCCGTCTGCTGTTCTGAAGCTTTTTGACACAACTGAGCTGAAATCAGTCGGTGAACTTTGTTCCACTTTAGAGAAATAAATCAATAACATTTCAGGGGTTTTAGGAAGTTTTTCGTTTTCAAGAATTCCACTAAATCCGTTTAAAAGAGACAAACTTTAAAGACTTAGTGAACGTTTCCAGCTGATGTTCTACAATCAGAGACTTGTTTAGAAGTTTCTGTTAGTCTGATCTGTTTGTGGACATTACCAAGTAAAGCTGTCAGCAGCTTCAAAGTGGAGATGATTCCATGAAAACATCTCAGTCCCGTTTTCATCAGAGACTGATGCATCTGAGGAACATCTGGATGTTTATGTGTCTATAAACTCACCTGTAGTACCTGTGTGTCCATCCCAGAAGTCAGTAAGAATCTAAATCAATGTATCTGATAAATACTGAGTCCAGTTCTGCTGTGGGTCAGTCAGACACACACACACACACACACACACACACCTGCTGTTCTCATGTCTGACTGTAGAACTGTGTGTGGTTGTTTGTCAGGTTAAGAGTTCATTATGTTCTAAAACATCTTCAGATGCATCAGATGATTAAAGTGAAGTGTGCTCTCTTATTGTCACATGATTCATCTTTTTGTTTGGTATGTTTGTCCAGAACTCCCACTGCATGATGTCAGGAAAGATGAGGAGGTTCAGACTGACCAGCAGCTCTGGAACCAGGAGAGGACCTCCAGTTTGGACCAGGAACAACCAGAACCTCCACAGATGAAAGTGGAGCAGGATGAGTCAGAACCTTTACATATTCTAGAACAAGAAGAACTCTGCATGAGTCAGGATGAAGAGCAGCTTGTACTGAAGCAGGAGACGGTGACCTCCCTTGTGACTCCTGCTGATGAGGACAGAGACCACCATGGACCAGAACCAGACAGACACCAGCTCCTTTTGTCACAGTTTCCTGAGGCTGAGATCAGAGCTGCTGCTCCAGAGTCTACAGGTGAGGGCGGGTCTATGTGAAATTTCCTTACTGTGACATCACTGCTCCTTTTCGGCATGTAAGGAGTCTGAGTCTCCTCTCCTACCTCCCTGGATAAAAATGAATGCAAAAGAACGGTGTTATAAAAGCTATATTTTACTCTGCTTTGCCTTATTGCCTGAATCACACATATGATGTATTTCAGTTTAAATGAAAGAAATTTTGTGTTTTGATGTCAGGAAAATTCTCCCTACAGTACAAGTAAAATATTCACCAATAAAACTCAGGACCACAGATGTTTAAGTTTTAAAGCCTGCACTTGTATCAAGGATTGGTACAAGTACAGGTTGTACATCTCCATACAGAGGAATGAACAGACCCAGTCACAGGGGCCTTTTACACCCCTCCCCCTCCGGCTCCAATTCCCGCTGATTACACCCCTGGGGCTGAATCAATCACCAGCGGAGTTTTACACCGGCTCGATCACCGCCTCCCCCCTGGCACAGTGGAGCGAGCTGCTCGAGAACACCCCACACCCCCCCGCCACGTCTCTTTCTCCGACTACGAACATGGTGAGGTGGAACATCGGACAAGGTAAGGGCTGGATGGGCTGCTTGTGTAACCGTGTCGTCGCTGACAGACTCCCTATTGCTGCGCTGAAACCACACTTTCCATCTCGCTAGAAGACCGCAGATCGTCCTTGGAAAGGAAATATTCTTCCTCCGAATCCGAATCTGCCAGTACTACACGAAGAGCTTCGTCAGCACTGAACATTCCTCTCGACGTTGTGTTTTTTCCCTCTACCACTCGCTCGCTCTCACTCGCTCTGACAACCCCCGCGGCTCTGCGACTGGTGGGCAGGGTTCAAGCTTTAATTACTCCAAAAGTTTGAACAGTAACACACCCACAAATGCTGCTTGGATTGAAGTTACAGGTGTCTGCCACCCCGCAGTGTAACGTATTAACTGCATGAGGGCTCATTTCTGCTGCTGTGGCTTAAGAAATCCAACATTGCTGCTTGTCGCAATTCTGCGACTTTGGCGCTTAAAGGGTTAAAGTGTCAGATAGAAAAGGTAAAAACAAAGAATTTACTTGGGTGTGTATAGATAAAGAACCAAATAATGGATTACTGAAAGCTGCACAGAATGAAATTATCAAAGTAGAACAATCACACAACATTTTACAAAGTTTGAGACTGTACTTTTAAAATGGCAATGACACTTAAATTTACCGCATGCATTTTTTCCCCAAGCTTTTGGCACCATGCCATATGTCCAGTGTGTGTATCACTCTACAGTCTTTGTATTTTCCTTTGTCTGTCGGGATATACAAGTAATTCAAATGAGCAAATGTTTTCTGTGGTAATACTACGCTAATTTGTTTGTGTTTGACACACTTATGCAAAATAGACTTACTGAAGAGTGTTGTAATCTGTGAATGTGCATCAGTACAAACTTCCAACACCCGAAGGTCCTGAGTAACCCCGGGTTTCCACGGGAGCCGTCAGCAGCACGTTACTGCAGCAGCACGTCTTGCTCGCGTAAGCTGCTGCTTGGCCCTTCCCACGAGACGCGAAGCAGCAGGGGAGCAGCTGTCACCGACAGAGCACGAATTCACACGAGTGACTTCGTCAGTAAACACAACAACAAGCAGGAGAAAACTACAACATGGTTTGTGTTTTATGTTCTGTCCATTTTATAATCGCCAATGCGGACCTGAAAAACAAAGGAGACCGCTAGCTAGGTGATAACTTCTCACAGGGACGCACAGTTAGTAACCTTTTTTAAAAGTAAAGCAACCGGAAGGCAGTATGTTCTTTATTCTGAAAATCTCGGTAGCTTTGCTCCGTTTCCGCGTCCAATTTCCTGTCTTTCCTTCCCCAAAAATGTCGAACTTGACCCGTTTCAGAGGCGTCGCGCGTAGAAAATAGAACCGGCGCGTAAAGGCCGTGACATGCTGCTCCTGAGACGCGGCCGACTCCCGCTGCTGACGGCTGCTGACGGCTCCAGTGGAAAAGGTTCTGTTGACCACAGCGGTTCCTATCAGCAGTTATGACGTGCTGCTGCAGTAACGTGCTGCTGGCGGCTGCTGTGGAAAGCTGGGGTAAGTCTGTCCAATGTCTTTATGAAGCCCATTTTTTCCATGACCACTGAGTTCCTCTGTGTTTCCTGTTTGTCTGTATTTTCCAGGTTCACAATCTTTTTGGAGTAATTTTCCATGGCAGTGTAGGTACAGTACTGGGGTCTCATTTATCAAACATTGAGTAGAATCCTTACTAAAACCGTACTTAAGCTCAGCAAAAACAAATTTACTTACGCGAAGTAGGTTTGTGATCTATCAAACATAGAGTTCGCACAGCTGCACACAATCTCCGATTCATGAATCGGAGACTAACGAGAAAGTTTGTCAGCTGCTTTTCAGTCACATCCCACCCTCACCATGCCCACTTACTGCCATAAATAGTCAATGCAAAGTGCCTTGTGGATTTCATGCATATACATAAGCCGGCTTGTTGCAGCGCTCTGCCAATTACAATGGCGACCGTAGATCAAGGCAGATCAAGGAAGCGCTATTTCACAAGCAGAAGTTGACGTACTTGTGGGTGAGGTGGAGAAATGAAAGGAAGTGCTTTTGAAAAAAAAATAAGAGAAAATCCACGGAGTGGCACAGCATTGCTGAAGCCGTCAATGCTGTGAGTTCTTTAATAAAAAAACGGTCTGATCGATATTCAACCCCCAGACTCCCGGGTGAAAGGCACATGCGCTAACCAGTCAGCCAAACATGGATCTCATTTGGCAAAGTAGCCGGGGCGCATGATCAATCGGGTCACACTGTCAGTCTGTCACAGACGCATGACATTCTGTCTAATTCTGCCCCCCTGCTGATATTCAGCATTCCGTATTCTGCGCTTCAGGCTGTGTGTGTGTGTGTGTGTTGCGTGTGCGTGTGCGCGCGTGTGTGGGGGAGCTTGTTCTGTGTGCGCACAAAGCGGTACAAGTGATAATGCTGCTGGAATTCATAATTTTATCCTTCTCAGCAGCAGCTCTGCAGGTGCTTTCCATGTCCAAAATGTGCGTAAGCAAGGTCTTTAGTCAAATTTAAGTTGCGCATTTTTCCGCTACGTTTTCTTTCATAAATCCCAAAGTTTGTGTGAAAGTTGCTTAAGCAGTTGTCCGACCCTGTTTTGTGCATAAGCAAGCTTGATAAATGAGGCCCCTGGGCACAAAATCCTGGACTGTCCATTCTTGCATCTCCTTGAAAATAAAAAAAAGACAGAGAAAAAATTATACATATATATATATATATAACCATTAATAGAGCCTGGCTTTTTGGCTCAGCTCCCTCTTCACCACGACAGATCGGATCAGCGTCTGGATCACTGCAGAAGCTGAACCAATCCACCTGTTGATCTCCTGATCCCTCCTACCCTCACTCATGAACAAGACCCCTTATCACTTGTAAGTCGCTTTGGACAAAAGCGTCTGTTAAATACATAAACATAAGACCCCGAGATACTTAAACTCCTCCACTTGAGGTAGGACCTCTCTCCCGACCCGGAGTTGGCAAGTCACCCTTTCCTGATCGAGAACCATGGTCTCAGATTAGGATGTGCCGATCCTCATCCCAACCGCTTCACACTCAGCCGCGAACCTACCTAGCAAGAGCTGAAGGTCAGAGCTTGAAGCTAGAAAGACCACATCATCCCCAAAATGCAGAGATGAGATTCTCCTGCCACCAAACTCGATACACTCCACACCACGGCTGCACCTCAAAATTCTGTCCATAAAGGTTGTGAACAGAACTGGTGACAAAGGGCAGCCCTGGTGGAGTCCAACCCTCACTTGGAAAAGGTCCGACTTACTACCGGCTATGCGGACCAAACTCGCGCTCCTCTGGTAAAGGGACTGAATGGCCCTTAACAAAAGGCCACCCACCCCATACTCCTGCAGCTTCCCCCACATGGTGCCCCTGGAGACACGGTCATAAGCCTTCTCCAAATCCACAAAACACATGTGGATTGGTTGGGCAAACTCCCATGCCCCCTCCATCACCCTTGCAAGGGTATAGAGCTGGTTCACAGTTCCACAGCCAGGATGAAAACCACATTGCTCCTCTTCAATCTGAGATTCAAGTATCGATTGGACCCTCCTCTCCAGTGTCTTGGACTAGACCTTTCTAGGGAAGCTGAGGAGTGTGATCCCCCTGTAGTTGGAACACACCCTCAGGTTACCCTTCTTAAAGATGGGGACCACCACCCCAGTCTTCCACTCCACAGGAACTGCCCTCGATGAACACGCAATGTTGCAGAGACATGTCAACCACAACAGCCCTACCACATCCATAGCCTTGAGATACCCAGGACGAATCTCATCCACCCCCAGGGCTCCGCCGCTGTGTAGTTGTTTGACTACCTCAGCTACTTCTGCCCCAGAGATTGGACAGTCTATCCCCAGGTCTCCTGGCTCTGGCTCCTCCTCGGAATGCGCGTAGGTGGGCTTGAGGAGCTCCTCAAAGTATTCCTTCCACCGCCCGACTATAGCCCCAGTTGACATCAGCAACACCCCATTCCCGCTGTAAACCATGTGAGCGAGTTGCTGCCTTCCTCTCCTGAGGCGCCGGACAGTTTGCCAGAACCTCTTTGGTGGAGATCGATAGTCTTTCTCCATGGCCTCACGAAACTCCTCCCACGCCCGAGATTTTGCCTCAGCAACTGCCACTGCTGCACCCCGCTTGGGTATCCATCTGCTGCCTCCGGAGACCCACAGACCAGCCACGCCCTGTAGGCCTCCTTCTTCAGCCTGACGGTTCCTCGAACCTCTGGTGTCCACCAGCGGGTACGGGGGTTGCCCCCACGACTGGCACCGGCCACCTTGTGACCACAGCTAGCTAGAGCCGTCTCGTCCAAAGTCGCCTCTGAAGTCGTCTCGTCCAAAGTCGCCTCTGAAGTCGTCTCATCCAAAGTCTCAACAATCGCAGAGTGGAACAAGGCCCACTCGGAGTTGATGGCACACTCAGAGTCGATGTCCCCCTCTGCTCTCGGAATGCGGTCAAAGCTCTGCCGGAGGTGGGAGTTGATGGCCGTCTTGTCAGGTTATTTTGCCAAGCGTTCCCAGCAGACCTTCACTATGTCTTTGGGTCTGTCAGGTCTACGCGGCATCTTCCTCTGCCAACTGATCCAACTCACCACCATCAGTTGACAGCTCCGCTCCTGTCTTCACTCGGGTGTCCAAAACATACGGCCGCAGGTTAGATGATATGACTACAAAGTCTATCATCGACCTGCGACCTAGGCTACCCTGGTACCAAGTGTACCGATGGGCATCCTTATGTTCGAACATGGTGTTCGTTATGGCCAAACTGTGGCTTGCACAGAAGTCCAATAATGAAACACCACTCAAGTTCAGATCAGGCGGGCCGTTCCTCCCAATCACACCCCTCCAGGTCATGCTGTCATTGCCCACGTGAGCATTGAAGTCCCCCAGCAGGACAATGGAGTCCCGTGATGGAGCACTATCTAGCACTTGTCCCAGGGACTCCAAAAAGGGTGGGTAATCTGAACTGATATTTGGCGCATAAGCACAAACAACAGTCAGGACCCGTTCCCCGACCCGAAGGCGCAGCTACCCTCTCGTCCCCCGGGATAAACCCCAACACACAGGCAGAGAGTCTTGGGGCTAACAAAAAGCCAACCCTAGCCCTCCGCCTCTCACCCGGAGCAACTCCAGCAAAGGAGAGTGCCCAACCCCTCTCAAGGACTTGGGTTCCAGAGCCAATGCTATGTGTCGAGGTGAGTCCGACTATATCTAGCCGTCCAACGCCCCGGGGTTCATCTTGCGAGGACAGCGGGTGGGTCCACGTCTTGTGTCCGGCTGCCAGAGTTTGCTGCGACAGATGTCGGCGTGGTCTCAGCACCCAACTACTCCCAGTCCTCACTATCTAAAGGCATCAAGCCTCCCCTCCTGGCACTGTAACACTGCCCACCTACTCAGTTGTCTTCATCGCCAGCAGTCCTAACCAACTGCGAATGATCCCACCCCCCAGAACCAGGTGCCACAATGACAGGTCGACCACACACACACACCTTGGTAGTTCTGCCACCCGTTTATCATCTCCGGCCTCATCACGCCTGACAAGCACCAGCCGGCGTCCCGTCGCCACGGCCCCAGAATCTGGCTAATCCTGTCTTCTGCCTTTCACAATACCGTTAATCATCTTTTGAAAAATTTTTTATACTTAGATTTTTTTTTTTTTTGTGAAGCTCTTCGTGATTTTTTGAGAGGCATTTTGTAAAAGATTGTTGCCTTTCTTTTAGTGTAATGTGCTTTGTAGTCCTCGGACAAAGGCAGGTCATTTCTAATTTGCAATTAATCATGAGTTATCTATAAAACTCATGCGACTAATCGTGATTCAGATGTTTTGTTGATTGATGGTGCCGACTTTTTATTGTAATGGAAATGAAAGGTATTACAATTTGATTAATGACCAGAGATATTAATGATCCATACCTGGCAGGGACCCCATCTCTGGACCTGGGCTTTTAAAATCAGAAGAGTATTCTTTTTATTACAGGGAAATTTAATATTAAACACTTTGCATGAACTGAGAGACAAGAGAAGAGAGAGAGACCTTGGAACGTTTAAGAAAATTTATTATCTAAATTATTTTAAACAATTACCAGGACTAACTCTCTAATGATGGATGCGAATGGAATGTAATGAGGTGAAGTGTGAGTGTTGAGGTCAGTTCAGAACCTCCGTCTGGAGAAGCGAGTCTGAGTGGGAGATGTTGTTTCCCGTGCTGTACTGTGCTGACGGTACAGGCCCAGAAGCTGACAGCTCCGGTCCAAAGGTTGGCGGTCCAGAAGTCGGCGCCCCCGGACCAGAAGCTGACGCCCCCGGAGCAGAAGCCGACGCCCCTGGACCAGAAGTCGATGGTGGTCAACGTCCTGTCCTGTCCTGTGGTCAACGCCTCCTCTGAAGTCGACGCCTCCTCTGAAGTCGACGCCTCCTCTGAAGTCGACGCCTCCTCTGAAGTCATCTCGTCTGAAGTTGCCTCTGAAGTCATCTCGTCCGAAGTTGCCTCTGAAGTCGTCTCGTCCGAAGTCGCCTCTGAAGTCGTCTCGTCCGAAGTTGCCTCTGAAGTCGTCTCGTCCGAAGTCGCCTCTGAAGTCGTCTCGTCCAAAGTCGCCTCTGAAGTCGTCTCGTCCAAAGTCGCCTCTGAAGTCATCTCGTCCAAAGTCGCCTCTGAAGTCGTCTCGTCCGAAGTCGCCTCTGAAGTCATCTCGTCCGAAGTCGCCTCTGAAGTCGTCTCGTCTGAAGTCTTCTCGTCCGAAGTTGTCGTCTCGTCTGAAGTCGTCTCGTCCGAAGTTGTCGTCTTGTCTGAAGTCGTCTCGTCCGAAGTTGCCTCTGAAGTCGTCGCCTCTTCTGAAGTCGTCTCGTCTGAAGTCGACGCCTCTTCTGAAGTCGCCTTTCCCACTCCAGAAGTCGACGGGCCCTCTAGCCCAACGAAGCCGCGTCCAGTCGGGGAGTCTCCTCCGGTGTTCCTGCTTTCGGCCACCGCCGGCCCTGCCCTCGCCAGGCACGGGCCCCCAAGAGCCCGTCGCCTCCTCCTCTGCTGCAGTCGCCAGCCTCCGAGAGCCCGTTGCCTCCTCCTCTGCCGCATGCGCCGCCTCCGAGAGCTCGTCGCCTCCTCCTCTGCCGCAGACGCCGGCCTCCGAGAGCCCATCGCCGCCTCCTCTGCCGCAGACGCTGGCCTCCGAGAGCCCGTCGCCTCCTCCTCTGCCGCAGACGCCAGCCTCCAAGAGCCCGTCGCCTCCTCCTCTGTCCCGGGCGAAGACCCCCGGACTCTGCTGGTCCCTGCCTCCTCTCCATCGGTCCCTCGGTTCCTCTGGGCCCTCCCTCCGGGTCCCCCTCCTCCCGCCCTGCTTCTTGTTCCTGTGGACGTCTGGGATCCGCCCTTTGGGGGGGGGGGGCTGTCGCACCCTGTCTTGTCTCCCCTTTCTGTTTAGTCATGTGTCTCCGTTGATTGCTCCCACCTGCCTCTCGTCTCCCAATCACCCAAGCTCCCGACCCTCCTGTATTTAAACCCCGTCTGTTCTGTGTCCTGTGCCGGTTCATTGTTTCAGTTGTCCAGCATGTGTCATTATTAAACTTATGGTAAAAGTACCTACCTGTTTGCCTTTTCCCTCCCCACATTTGGATCCTACCACCGCTCCACTCACCGGCACGCGTGTGACACTTTGCTGGAATGTAAACATGAGAAGTGAGTGCATGACCTTGGCTGTTCATGCACACTGGCGCTGTGTCAAAGGACAGCTGTTAAAGGGGAGAAATGGTCACACCATAATGTTACAACATTAATCATTGTTGTGTTTTGTCTTTTATTCTGTCCAGAACTTCCACGGCATTACATCTGGGAAAAGGAGGAGGTTGTGACTGACCAGCAGCTCTCTAACCAGGAGACCACCTCCAGTTTGGATCAGAAGGAGCCAGAACCTCCAGTAATCAAAGAGGAACAGCAGGAAGTCTGTATCAGTCAGCATGAAGGGCCATTCATTCTGAACCAAGAAAATGTTACCTTCATGGTGACTTCTCCTGAAGAAACAAATGGCTGTGAACCAGAACCAAACAGGAGCCAGCCCATATGTGAGAGTTTTACTCAGTTTGAAAACCAAGATCAGGATGGATGCTGGAATGAAAACCCAGAACCAAACGCCAATGAAGAACTGACACAAAATAAAAGGTGTCACAGAAACAGTGTAATCAGTAAGATTAAAAAAAAGGCTCACAGAGATGGAAGACAATTTTCATGTAAAATCTGCTTGAAATTTTTTAGTTCAAAGAACGATTTTACTCGTCACATAAGAACTCACACAGGTGAGAAACCATTTAGATGCAAAGTTTGTGGTAAATGTTTCTCTCGAAATGGTAGCTTAACAACTCATATGAGAACTCACACAGGTGAGAAACCATATTCGTGTAAAACTTGTGGTAGATGTTTTTCTACCAAAAGTATCTTGACTATACACATGAGAACTCACACAGGTGAGAAACCATTTGAATGCAAAATTTGTGGTAAATGTTTTGCTGGCAGTAATAAATTGACAGTTCACATGAGAACTCACACAGGTGAGAAACCATACCCATGCAAAATCTGTAGTAAATGTTTCTCTGTGAAGAATAAATTGACTGATCACATGAGAACTCACACAGGTGAGAAACCATACCCATGCAAAATTTGTAGTAAATGTTTCTCAGTGAGTAGTAAATTGACTGATCACATGAAAACTCACACAGGTGAGAAGCCATACCCATGTAAAATTTGTGGTAAATGTTTTGCTGTCAGGTGTAATTTGAATTCACACATAAGAACTCACATAGGTGAGAAGCCATATTCATATAAAACTTGTAGTAAAAGTCCATAATCAAACAGAACATGTTTGATTATGGCCCTCTATTATGTTGAATCCATTCCACAGTTTTCATTGGTACACTCAATCCATCCACTCAATCCAAATGTGTTTCACACATTTGGATTTTACCGGAATGTTTCTTCTATCTTGTAATTTCCATTTTGTAATTTGAATTTCTTTTATTGTTGATTTATTCAATATAATTACTTACAACTGTACCATGTTCAGCGCTTTGGGCTTCCTGACAGGGTTGCGGAAGGCGCTATATAAATAAAGCTTTTTTTTTTTTTTTTTTTTTTTTTTCCAAGTAAAAAATTAGCTTGAAAATGCACATGAAAGCTCAACACAGCTGAGAAGTATTTTCTGTGAATGATCTGTAGGGCGAAATTCTACAAAAAATTTTTTACTGCACATGTAAAAATTCGCGCTTGATATTTTATTCAAAAGTTTTACCTCACAAAAAGTCACCTGACACAAAACATGAGAATTCGTTGTCAAGAATAAATGAGATTTTGACATTTAAACCATGAAGGTGTGGAACACTGAATACATATATAATAAAAGTTTTAGTGTTTTAGTTTTATTCTTTTGTCTACAACTGTGGACCCCTTGTTTTGCTTTTGAATAACTTCAAAAGCAGTTTTAGTAATCTTCCAAAAATGCAAAAGAAAGTAAAAAGGAACTTTTACTTTCCCACTGTTCCAAGCGTTTTGAGGTAGTTTATTTGCTTAATGTAGTGTATTTTAAACAAATAAATGTAATTTTAAGTTGATGAATTTTTGAGAACAATTCAACGTTTGTATAATGGGCTCGACACACGGGAGGCGACAAACGTCCGCGATCAGCGAAATTTGTCGCCGTCGCTTTTATTACCTGACACACGGGAGGCGACAAACGACCGCGATCAGCGAAATTTGTCGCCGTCGCTTTTATTACCTGACACACACGAGGCCACCCACGGCAGCGGCAAAGCCGTCTACGCGTTCTGTTCCATGGCTAAATCGAAACTTCCGTTGTTTTGTTTGGCTGTCTCAAGTTGGAGGGAATTAAGGTTATTTATGCGGTTCAGAGTTTAAAAAGTGGTAGATATGATGTTTCACAAGGTGCTGCTAGAGTTATGTGAAATCTTACTTCTGATTTTACTATATAAAACATAATAATAAACTTCTCCTTCATGTTTGCTCGGAGGTGTACGGAGCATCCTGTCCGCTCATTGGTCAGTGAATGAAACCTCCGTTGATTGGTCCTCGTCCGAGCTACAGCGATGAAAAGTTGAAAATGTTTCAACTTTGTGGGATTGCGTCCCTGGGTCGCCTGTGCACGACACGTGCACGAGCACAAAATTTCACACGCACGTTTTTCGCGTTTCGCTTGGTAGGAGGGAGACCCGCGATTATCGCTTTGTCGCGCATGTCTCTTTGAAAATGAATGGAGGAGAGGCGATGTCGCCTCCCGTGTGTCGAGCCCATTAGTCATGTTAATAGTTTCAATTATATAAAAATGTCAGTGGTGTAAAGCATTGTGTGTGTTCGTGCGTGCCAAAGGCATCGATAAATACTGGATGTAGTAATGCCCATTTATAGAATTATTTATTTTTGAGGCAAAAAAGGCTGTTCCCACCACCGCCATTTTGGCTGTGTCACACGTCATGCTTCGACAATCCGAAAATGGAAAAAGAGGTGGAGCTGAGAGTGGGGCTTTGAGAGTGGGCAGCCATTGACGGCTTGGTCGTGGGGCGGGTTCTACCATAGTCTTTCAAACAATTTTTGCATGCTACTGGACAATGAACAATGTAACGTACTCAATGCAATGGATGTCAATAAACAAGGCAGTCTGCTGTTGAAGGCAAAAATGCATCATTTTCTTAAAAAAAAAAGACTTAAATACATCTATCTGCTCCAAAAGCCCAAGTCCAAATAGTCCAAAATACATGTTAAAGCAGTTTAAAACAAGCTGTCGCCATCTTGTTCCACTCTGCGGCATCATCCCACCCACCAGAGGAATAGAGGGTCCTGATTGGCTCACAAAGCAGATAGAGCACCGTGATTGGCCCACAAAGCAGAGAGAGATGAGACAGGAGCCGAGAGCCGCGTGGACACAGCTCTAGTACGGCTGGGATAATAAAACCAATGAAAACAACATTTAAACACAGAGTGAGAGGTAATAAATCACTGGCCAAATGCCAAGCCATAGAAGTGGGTCTTCATAGTGATGAGGCGAGGGAGGGTCAGTGCCTGTCCGACAGAAAGGGGAAGATCATTCCAGGGTGTGGGGGCCACAAACACAAAGGCCCATCTGCCCCAGCAATTTGTACTTGATGCTGAGAATGCAAAGTAACGAATCAAAAGGGTCAATTTTCACCATCGAATTGACACAGTAACCTTTCATGCACGCCAGAGCTGCAAAGTCAAGGTTACACCAGCTGGAGGATTCAGACGCACAAATAAACCTTTTGCTTACTTATTGTTCTTCAACGCAAACATAAATAAACTGTCAAGGTCTCCCGCAAAAGCCCTTCTTTCTCTGCTAAAAGTCAGACTGCTGGATTCCTCATCCACACGAATCCTACAAGGATTTACAAATGATAAGTTATATAATCATATGTGATGAATGAACAAGATGTTTAAATCAAATGTTTGAATAACCTGTGCTTAAATGATGAAGTTGAAATGAATATTGCTCTTGCAATGATCCATTGCAGATCTTATGATCAGTATGTGTTTGATTTAACAAGTTAATCATTATTTACACTCATACACATCATCATAAGACACAAATTCAGGTTAAGTTTCACCTCACATAAAGTTTAAAGATTCTTTATTCACAGAATTAAGAATCTTGCATCTGAAGGAAGGCGTGGCTTTCTGAGGAATGTTGGTAAACACCCAGAAACGTGTCAAATTCTGATTGTCCAGAATACACCAGAAATCATAACATTGTGGTTTAATAAAACAGGAATTACTTCCCGAGTAATTCAGTTTCTAGCAGAGTTCCGCACTGGCCAGTTTGGAACAAGCATCCTTGAGACATCTCTTTTGACATACAGTCAAAACCTGTTTACACGCTGCAAGCCGACACAGCCAGACGGCTCCCTACGAGCCACATCCACTTTGGATGCAAACAAGCATTGCAGCTACTGTTGTGACCTGGAGACATCTCAAGACTGGACGAGTCGTATCGGAGTTTAATCTACGAAATCCTGGTGCCGTGAGGTCCACTTGACTTCTGACGGTCTGCTGGGGGTTTGTAGACACAACAGATGCTGTTTTATTAATAATCAACTCTAGTTTAAAGCAGACAAATTATTTTACACCCAAATTTCACAATTTCTTCAGATACAAAGATTCTGATAAACATCTAACTTACATCACACCACCTACACATCACATTCCATCACCGCAGATCCACTCCATCACATCTCATTATTCATATCTTGTCATGTATAATCATTAGTTTAGAAAAGAATAAAATTCCTTTTCAACTATATTCTTGACTCTGTCTGAATTGATATGAAGTGTGTATGTTCTCTGAATAAGTCAAAGAACCTAAAGGATTATTAAATTAAATATTCAAAGACCAATCAGATTGATATTTCATATTTTTGTGGAACATCACATCTTATTGATCATTTAACAAATAAGTAGCCAATCTTTCATACTACAACAACTAAAAAACAAAATAACAGTATATAAAAACTATCCAGCAAGTATTCCTCTCTAACTGAACAAAGTGCAGTTGAACTGGTTAGGAATGGGCAGTGTTTCGTTCTTGGAAGTCAAATTATGGTCACCCTCATCATCATTGCTAAGCAGCAGAAAGCAGTTCAGTAAGCTGCTGATTGGCTGTTTTTCCTGGACATGATTTGATTAGATGAAAGAGAGCTGCCTGTGATTGGCTGATGGAGAGGCTACTTTTTTCAGTTGAGTGAGAGCAGGAAGAGATCTGCATGTGGAGACTGAGATGAGGGAGCTGATTGTTTTGGTCTAAATCAAATTATTGTGAATGGGACCACAACAACTAGTGGTATGATTATACCGTAAATCCTCTAATATTAGCCTGTATTGAATTAACTGCCGGGTATCATATTTTGGCCGGTGTCGGAGTCGGCGGAGGTGAATAATGGCCGTTTTTTTATTGTGGCTGGGTGGAATGTGGTAACAAGCAAGTACGGGGGCGGTTGTGTCATCCGTCTCACTTTTGATTTGCCAGTGATAGACCACGAGGGTAACTTTAACTGTGCGGAGACGAAGAGGAGGCGAAAATTTGATATCAAGTTCAAAGAGAACGTGCTGATTATGCTGCAGAACACTCTGGGGAGCAGTAGCAGGGGTTGGATGAACTAGTCACTAGTCGACTTCACTGCTCTATAGTGACTTGTAATGCCTGTCATCGACTAGTCGCTGTCACGTGATAATGACCGGCAAGATGCAGTCCACGGAAAAGACAGCAGCCTGCTGTCAGCAGGTGACAAGCTCCTGCGCGTCGGGAGGCAACACGCTGTGCTAGAGCGTCGGTACTGACACCCGCCGTAAAACGGACATTTAACGAAATTGTGACGTTTACCCTCTTGCAATTTCACCTTCCCCTCACCCCCATCCTAACCTTAACCAGCTTGCACATGCAAAGCTCTGATTGTTGACGCGCTCCAGACATCTGCGTCCTGAGCACGGCCACAGTAACGTTATCAAATTAGGTGTCGCCACCTCAAAAACTAATTTAACACGCGATCGTTCATGTCGGCTCATTTCCTTTTATGTTTTCTGTCTTTTATTCTTTTATTTGTGCCTGATGCTTTTCGCTGCTGTGGATCAGGGCGCATCACCTGTTTTGTCCTCGGTTACGCACCTAACTGATGTGGCCGGCGAGCACTCCGCTGTTTTTGCGGTCGGTAGATCTTTTAGAACTGCAGTTCAAAGGTAACTCATAAGGTGAATATATATGAACCCAGGTAGCAGTTTTTCTTTAGGATTGAGAGGAGATGCAGGAAGATAATAAACAGACAGGACAGAAAAATAGTCAAATAAAAACAAGTTAGTTTTTGTACCTGGTGGTTGCAACAAACAGACACCATTGAAGGTAATCAGAAGTGAGAAACAGAAAATGAAATAATTATTTTAATGTTTAGAGCAGCAGGAACTCTGAGAGGCTGCAGGCGCATCAGTGAGTTTGCGGCCGCTGCGCAGGGGGAGGGGGGAGATGGCTGAAGCAGAAACTACCGTTGTTAAAAGAAATGTGTTTACCTTTGAAAA